CCCCAAAACCCCAAAACCCCAAAACCCCGTAAAGCAGAATAATGCCAATGATCAAAGTAGAGTGATTAAAGGTTTTTTGTATTAATTAAGTATTCAAAGCTAATAATGATTTTTTATCAGTGTAGATTTTATTATCCATTATGTTTTGCAATGTTTTTTCTTTTAATAACTTCAATATACCCTATCATCAAAGCACTTAGTAAGCTGAGAATTATCATTAAAATATTGACATAAATCTAACCCTCCAATAGATTTTATGGGTTAATATCCAATAGATTTCCAATTATAATATGAGCAATTGTTAGACTTAAATTTTAAACTGAATTTAAAATGCCAATACATAATCCAATAATCTAAGGAGGTGATACTTCACTAAATAAGATTAAAACTCTAATATTTTTACTTCATTGCAGCTTGGAGGTTTGAGACAAATATTCCGAATGAAAGCTCAAATAGGGTAATAGGTATTACAATTAGATATGATTTATCAAAATTTGGAGCTAGAACAAAAAAGCTCTAAACAGTGGCGATAGTCATATTAGCAAATATCAAAGTTTGCATCCTTTTGTCTATTTTATCTGAAACAGCACCAAGGACTGGACCCATTAATGTAGTGAAAATTGCAATATAGCCCTAAAATATAAAAATACTTGAAACAATTGCTTACCATGATATTTCCAGTTTAAATGATATCAAAGCCATATTTTACTCTTAAAAGCTAGCTAATATTTGCATGAAATGGCAACAATGTCATGTAGGATATTATGTTTGCTATCATAAATATCCAAAATAACTTGCTTAACTTTTTAAACAACCTCATTGATATAGTGGGTTTTTCCTAAACCTCTGAATTTTATGATCGATTGATTTGAATGGTTTCATTATCTTAAAGCACACTGCTATCATTGAATTACCTTTCATATTTTTTGTCTATGTGATTGAAAACAAAGCATAGTGCAACTAATATGAATCCTAAAATGACACTGGATACAAATGAGTGACCTAGACTTTATGTATGATAATAAATCTTTGGCAAAACAAAGTTACTCAGGCTTAGCCAGCTTTTGCTATTGTTATCAAGATCCTAGCATGAGTAAAAACTTATAATTATAACTTACGAGCAGGCTAATCCTAGTTCCTTTTGTGAAAACCAATGATTTATAATAAGCATTGCAACTATTGATGAAGCCTCACTAGAAATCCCCAATATAATTCTTCCAACAAGAGCAAGTTAGTAATTGGTCTCTCCATAACAACTGACTGAGAATATAATTTGGCCGATAAAAAATAAAACTCCAAAAAGCATGTTTGCTGTTCTGATTCCAACTACGTCTACAAAAATGCCTGTAAACAAAGCAAGGACTATATTGAGCAAGCTAGTTGCTGTGAAAAATAATCCAAATTCCAAATTATTTATCTTAAAATGCACAAGTACTTCTTACTTAATGCTGGCTGGTGATTCAATCGTGTAGTATCTAGATTATAAAGTTTAAGAAATGAAATACAGTAAATAATAATTTGATAGTTAAAAAGAATAAAGATGAAAGTAAGTAAAATTGCAGATTTGCAAAGATGCTTTGATCAAGATAATACATACACGACAAATTTAAAGTAGCAAACAATAAGTAGAACCCAATAACGTACAGCAAGTTCTTTCGGATTGAGATTAGTAAGAGATTATTAGTTTGGATTATTAGTCTCAATTAAGGGTTTCTCTAGATTAAGACTTGCTACTGATTTTGATGTAATCATTTATTAGACAAAATAATAGAATTAGTGCAAGCGATTATATATTTAGGTAATTAAACTATCATAATATACCTTATTACGATACCCCTTAAAAGCATACAATTTTGAATTATGGGGTTTTGGGGTTTTGGGGTTTTGGGG